TAGTATTTATAGAGCCATCAGAGTCCTGAGAAAAAAATCCGCAAGATGAATCCCCACAGCCTAATGTGACACAGTGCCTTTCAAACTCTCCTGCAGAGGGCACATTTCCATATGAAATGGTCTTTTATATAACTTGTGTACAACAGTTTTACTTAAAAAGCTCTAAGAGCTCAAACGGCTGGTTTAAGATAGTATATTTTTTTCAAAATACATTTTTACTGTACCACCTGGGGAAATGAGATGCTGGTTTTGTATTATGTATAAAAAGGGTGAAGTTTAAATTTCATATACAAGTTTTAGAAGTAACGGGAAAAGAAAGAGTAGCACTGGAATCACAAAATCATGCCTCAGAATGAGGCATCTCAGAGCAGTGCCCACTATATGCACTGTCCCTATAATTATGGAACCATCTCTGGTCTCACCAGTTCTGCCCATATTAGCTTTGTCTTGGATGTATCTCCAGTTTCACTGGCACCAGTGACTAAATCCTCACAATTGCCAAAACCATTGGAACTAGAGATACAAAAGTAAAACAAATGGTAACTAGGAACACAACAGGTTCTCTGGGGTTTGTTGCTTTCCCCTCCCTTTTAGCAGCCAGATGTGGTTCAGTGCAGGGATGGATCTGGACAGGCCACTGTGGTCCCATTTCTGATTCGTTATCTCCTGTGTGCTGCAGCTACTTCCAAAGAGCTGCACGGTGCTGTTCAGGGCAAGTTCATAGGGCAGGATTCCTCTGGCAGGACACAGGAAGCTGCTTAATAATCACTGTTCTGAATTCCCCCCTCACTCTGTTCTGCAAGTGGGTTTTGTATGGAAGGCTGATCAGGGAAGTGCCACAGAACTCAGAGGAGACCCCACAGCACAGCTGTTCTAGCCACAGCTGCTCCACTAGGATACTGCACCTTTTCCTTCCAGAGCAGTAACGGAATCAGAATATGGAGTTAGATGAAAGTAAAAATCTTTATTGCTAAGTTAGCTGAAAAGTTGATGCAAAAATATTCTTCCTTCCTGGACTGCTCTATACATCTGAATAAAGAACCGATGGAATAGTGTTTTCCTGCAATCTCATGTTATTTACCTTTCCAAAGCAATGCAAACATAGGCCACAGTGCTGAGGGTGCATTCACTGGACAACCTACTCCCATACACGATAAAAACAGGGGTTATTATAGTGCATGCTAGAGTGGGATACAGAAAATATTATCCTTTTTAAAACAAAAAACACATGAAAAAGGATTATTTAATAAAGTTGGTGCACTGCAATATTTTCTGAACATGCGCTGGGTTATACAAGTCAAGTTAAAAAAAAGGTAACATTTTAAAATGTGAAAAAAAGAGGAAAAAATACACTTGAGTCTTCAGACAGCAATGGATCAGCAGACAACGATTGCACAAAACCGAAGGGGTGAACCTACTGCCTGAAGAAGGCCTTTGGCAAGTGACGCAGAAGCCACCACCACCTGGAAGGAGTGCAGGAACTCCTGATGTACAGGGTGGGTGGGGCTGAATGTCCTGTCTACAGAAGGATTTCAGGTCTCACAGCAGTTTGTCACCAAGAAAAGGAAATACTTGCTCCTTCCTGGAACAGGATTTTGCCCCCCCATCTAGCTGAGGATTCTGGTCAGGTTCCAGCAATCTGTGGTGCTGCCTACACCAGAACTGTTCTGGTGCTGGGAGCAACGTGGAGGTGACCCCTTATCCTTAATGCTGGGGCCTCAACTACTTGTCACTGGATATAACCTTAATGGGTTCCTTTGGTGAACATCCTTCTGGACAGGGCAGGCAGGTCAGTGCCTTTGGAATACCTGTTGTTGGCAAGCATGGTCATCAGCAGAGCCAAAATTACTGCAGAGAGGGACCAACCAACTCACCAGCCTAACTTGCTAACTTTCTGCCACACAGCACAGCAGGTCTGGCCTTGCTTAGCAGGGACAAAAGCCTGATCACCCCGAACTAAAAACCCTTCCATAAAAGCAAGTCTGTTAACAAATGGGACATGCTTAGTGATGTGGCTCTGTGGAGATGATGTATCTGTGCAAGAACCACAGAGAAAATTTAGGAAGAGATTGTGGGAGAACAGTAAGAGAACTAAGAAAACACTTTCTCCTGCTAGGAGTCCTCCACTAGACTTGCCCATTTGCACCTGCTGTTCCACCTACAGCAGTGCTCCTAAGGAGCTTGAAATCTGAGGTGGTGTTAATAAGCAAGACGTGGAAGACAGGAGAAGCTTGCTGCCTCTAGGGAGGCAGGAGAAGCAAAGGTGGTGGAGGGAAGCACTCAGGCTGTGCTGCCTAACAGTTCATAATACCAGCTTAAGCAGAGAAAGCTCACTGGTGTGAGAGAGGAAGTCATGTTCTGCCATGGCAATTCGCACCTGCAGACAACAGGAGCTGGCTGTATTCAACTCCCTTTTAGCTTCAAAACTAGAAATAGCACTGGAAAAAAAGGCTAAGTAGGAATTCCTTGCATTCCATTCTGCCACTACCCTGAAGACCAGCACCTCAGAAATTTGCATGCTCCATTGCAGTTTTATTTTACTTGGTCCTTCCTCACTGGCCTATGTGGAGCCATTCATGACCAGCTCCCAGTGGCAATGCCACTCTCCATTCAATGCTACTATTTCAGACCGGCAAGCACACAGGATTTTCTTGGAAACAAGAGACCTGATTTGCATTAACATCTGCCACTCTCCTAGTGCAAGGTGTGTCACAATCTTACTCAGAAAGAAGAGCGTATTTCTGCTTCAGTCCCACCCTGAACCGAGGCTGCCTTGCAGCCCTGGCAGGTATCAGGGGTTGGACTGGGCACAGATATTTGGTAAAATTATCACCAGTGACAGCATAAAGAGTTACAGTCAAATGCACTGGGATGAGCCTCGTCTGCCATGAAGAGAACACAAAAAAGGTTTGGAGTTTTGTTTTTTAATCTTTTCTGGTTTTGTTTCTCTGCTTAAGGGATTCAAATGCTGCTGTTTCTGTGATTCTAAGAATTACATTTTCTCTCAAACTCCAAATGAAAGGGGCATTTAAACAGCCAAAATGTGTGAGAGTTTAAACTTTGGATAAAGCTGGGTTGTCTCACCTTGTACCTAGCACAAGGCATATCCTAAAATGTTGCAGTTCCACATTTTTCCCACAGAAATTCAAGGTGCTCTGAAATCTCAGTAAAAGTCTGTTAGAGTTTGTCAGAATATCAATGCTGACAGACTCCCACAAGTAGTCAA